TTACCGAACAGCGGAATAATAGAAATTTTATCTCAATTTAAAAAAATGAATCCGATAAAGAAACTTTAAACTAACTTTTCCAAATAAATTGCGAAGTAATTTTGAATGAAGTGCTGGCTTTAATTGAACCGAACACTTTTGAGTTTTTTTTGTGACTAAAAGTTTTAAGGCTGCTTATCTGGAAAAGTGTTTCTTTAACATCGACTTCTCTAAAATGAGTAACCAACGAAGCGAAATGAGGTGACAGTAGAAGGAAACGCAAAATAAACTACCGACCCACTACATTTCACATTCTATTTGTCAACATGACTGTTAAACATCTAAGGTAAGAACTTTTCATTTTGTTGATGGATAGTTTAGGTTAGTCTTCAATAATTCATATCAAATTTAGTCGACTAGTATTTTAAATTGCTCTCCTTTTAAATTCATTTTATGCAGCGTATCCAAAATGGGTAATATGATGGTATCTATAATTTTTTTAATTTTTTATAATGTTGTTTATAATCAATTTTATAAGGTACATACCCAACCCAATTTTATTTTTTTTATTTCTTATCACATAATACCAAGTTTTATAAATGACAACATGTTAGTCACGAGTTTATTTAGGCACGAACAAAGTGAACAACAAAGAGTTGGAAAAAGATATATAAGAATAATTCGATTTTTATGCCATTTAAATGAAGATTGCACTTTGACTTAAAAATTTCATTCTTATAAAAACTTCCTGTTTTGTTCCATCAATATAACCAATTTTCTTCGGACAAAAAATATCAAAAGACTAAACCAGCTAACATTAAGCTGTTGAAAGAAAAAAATATTAAGAGAGTGTAGTTAGTAACTAGAATAATCAAAACGAGTCTTAGTTCCGTTTAGGGTATTTTCTGTTAAAAAATGCGCAACAGTCTAAGAAATTATTGAAGCACGACAATTAATATTTGTTAAATAATCTTATAATTGATTAAAGTAGCTATCCAAATGAGAACGCAACCAAACAGGTATTCTGGATGCTCATTGCTTGCTTAATAGACTCCAAACGACACATTATAGAATATGCGAAAGGGAAGATGAGACAGCAATGTAAACCACCTTTCTCCAATTACAGATACAGAGAATACATAGGTATGCTTTCTCAATTCTTTAACTATAAGATCATTTGTTTCGCGTAAAATGCAAACCGGATTCTAGAGAAAGTAGCGGGCAAGCAAAAAAGAGCATTTCTCAGGGTTTGCAGTATTTTGCCTCCGAGACAATCTAGTCATAGTAGTAAAAGCGGTCTTGCAAATGTAGTAGGGGATATCTTTAAGCCTTATGATGATAACAAAATTACTGCCTTTCATTTCATTTATTCAGTACACAGGATTAGTTTCATTCAAATTATCCCCTTTAAATCGCAGAACGCGAAAAGTAATATTTAACGAATCAACAATTAGTATTAGTATAGTAGTATTAGTATTAGTATAGTAGTATTATAGGTCCAGTTTTGTTTGCGATTTGTACATTCAGGTTTACAATAGTATATTATTATCATCTTTGTACTGATGACACTCAACTGTACTCTTCTTAATCTGAGAAATAATGTAACCAAGACATGGCAACGTAGCATGTTAACATTCCTGCCGCAGAAAGTTCTAGGTTTAAATCTATCCTTAGCACTCAGCATGTATCGATGTGCGAGCGCCCTCTCCTCAGACAACTCACGATAACCGATATTTTAAAAATCTTCACGGAATAGATCTTTAGTTTCTGAACTATCATATTAATTTAACTGTGGCAAGAATCGAACTTGGTGACGTTTCGAAAATCATCTGGTTGACTTCTTCATAGCTTTACTAAAACAGTCCAGATTCAGTTAAGCTCTGAAGAAGATTGGCGAATCGTCAGCAAGTTTGATTCAACAAGAACTGACCCAGTAGGAATACAGAAGTTTTGGAAATAGTAGTATTAATTGTGATTTAAATTGATTTAACGATTGTGTCGCTCAACATATGCTCGTACTTAATTCTAAAAAGTAAAAGTCTATAAAGAATTCTGCTTTGCCTTTTAGTAGCAGTTTCAAAAGTTTCGGACTTACTCTAGATTGTATGCTAAATTTCAGAGAGCAAATCACAAGCAAATTAAATATTTCTTGGAGCAATATAAAATTACTACAGGTTACTAAAAGGTTTCTTTGCAATACTCTGGTACTACAGCTTAATCATAGAGAACCATCGTATTCAAAACTTTCAAAACTCTTGTGTTGAACTGGTATATGAAGTTCTAAGTAGAACTCATATTTCCCCATATCCGGATTACTTGAAGAGGTCTTTCTTATAGTAAATTGTAAATCAATATGTTTCGTTAATAGACTTTTCATTAACGCTACTGGCCCTGAAAAATAGGTGTAAAAATTGCCTTTTTAGTAAGCAAAATGCCTACTAGCAAGATTACATTTTCGTTTCTACCTAATTAATAATTTAGTTAGATATTTCCGTGTTCTTAATTCCCTTCCACTCCCCCACTCCAAGCATTCTCTGTTCCATTGTCTGTCTGTTAAATTTTGAACAACGGCATTATAGTCCCACGTTTCATTTGGTACGAGCGGAGTGAGCGCTTGACAAACATATGACAGAAGAAGTTCATCGAAATGTTTTGCACTACACTTTCACTACGACCAAAAGTTTTTTTGGTAAATTTTTGCTAAACAGTACTAATACCATGGGTACATTCAGGTTTACTTTCTTAATCCATCAGTGAGTGGACATTTCTAAAAGGAGCACCCACCAAATATTCTGATCTGAATTTATTCACAAGATGGTACAACCATTAACATTATTAGTTACTTAAGGACGCAATTTTTCTCAAAATTCAAAACAAAATCATATCATTTCTTTAAAAGCGATGCACGAAATGTATTCGAATTGGAATGCTGGCCGGATGAACTCTGCACATCGATATTAACGTGCCATTTTCCCTCCTCATCAAATATTACCTCAATTATTCACGTTTTCGTTGAGGTACAACGATTCGGGCCCAGTCGGCCGTCGGGACAGAGTTTTCGATTTGATGGAATTGCCAATGCGTAAATTTTCAATACGGGTTATTTATTATTCTGTGTTTATAATTGCAGAACGATTTCCATGCTTTTCGCATAGAAAATTTCTTGAAAGCTCGAAACGAATTGGCAGGCGAATAAGCATCAATTTTCAATTTTAAATTTTTGCACCCAAAATTATCTTAAAGTATATTATGCATCAAATGTGACGGACGACATTTTAGGCACAAGAGGAGCGCAGCTTACCAAGTGCTTAATAAGCGAGCAGCTGAAGAAGTTTGTCGAAGTGTTTCATAGTATACTTTTTTTATGAGTATTAGTGCTTACATAACTTGTGCAAAACAGCATATGAGTGGCGTGTGAAGTGATTAGCAGAACTGACAAACAACAAAATAGAAAACCCGAAGTGGCTCATGACGGTGCTTTAACGAAGCTGGCATCTTGAAGTAACACTTTGCTCAACTCACATTAGATTGATGTTTCTCTGTAAGTTGTGTTTTATCCAACCATATGCAAAAATGTATTCATTATATACTTATGTTACGGTTAAAGCGTCAACTTGGCTAGTTTGCACACCAGCTGGAACAATCCAATTGTCTGGTTGTCTTGATGGAAAATCATATTTATTGTATTGGTTGGTTTGTATACCCACAGAACAGTATACAATTTACAAACTACACATAGTAAATGGATAAAATGTAAACTTAATTTCCGCAGTAGTACACATTAACTAACTCGTTGGTTAGTTTGTAAACTAACCAATTCTTTTGGTCAATTTATTAAAAAAGTGAAGTTATATTTAGTGTTGCCTTGTTGTAAACTGCTGGTTTTTCTGCGAATCTGGTCATTAAAAAATGAATCAATCAGAAGGCTGACCCCGAAATAATATTAGGAAGCGCTGCAGGGAAAGTTTCAGTACGAAGGGTTGCACAAAAAAAGTGTAAATGCTGTGCTTCGGGATATACGTGAAACAGCAAGTGCCACAAAAGTGCAACTTGCTCCAATTCATAGTTTTTTTTGCAATTTTGAAATTTATAATATCACTTTTATGTGATTTTTTTCACTTATATCCAAGTTGTACCCATATAGCTGTTAGATATTATGGTGGCCCTACTACGGTAAAAACACGCCGCATGCATATGTTGACTGGACTTTCTGAAATTTTTTTTCATAGTTGCTTGGCAAGTTGCTCGATTATCGGCCTAGGCAAGGCCTCTATATTGCTAGTATTTCACCTATAAATCAACTATTTCTGACAAACTATTATGTTTATTATATTGAACTAAATTAACCAAACAGGATTGGTTGGTTTGAGACTTCACAGGTTATCCAAATACTGTGTCTAGTTTCTAAAGAAAACCCTGGTTGATTTGGGATAATTTTCTTATGTTTGCGGTAAATATTGTAGATTGTAGAGTCTGTAAACTAAGTGAATAGTACACAAAGTATAGAAACAACTAGATATTTGGAGAGCTTAATTATTATCCAGCTTGTCTCCAAACTAGTCAAGTTAACACCCTAGCCATAAAACACACAATAACTCATGAACCCATAATATAAGCCCATAATCACAAAAAGAGATATATAATTATTTTAATATTATCTAAATTTTTGAGTAATTTTCGTCGATTCGTTTATTGTTTTTTTTTTTAGAAGGAAGCCAAATGACCGAGAGTTAGTATCCGATAGTTTAAAAAAAGTGTCGCTACAAATGAATGGTTTTTTTCATTAAAGTATTTATGATAAATATACATTTATTTATTAACACATTATAAAAACAAACCTCTTATGACTATTTTCGTCCAAAAGTCCTAACTTATTCTGCACGCAAAAACGGCTAATTCAAATTTCTTGCAATTCGGCATTAGATACAGTAGAAAAAATGCATTTAAAAATATATGTGGACACTGCATCGCTTCTACCAGGCTTTATAGTTAGGTTTTAAAAATAAATTTAAGCGGTTAATGAGAGTATTTTGTTACAGTCGTAGTTCAAACGTAGGGTAGACCGTTCGTCCTTATTTAAGTAGTTCGGATTCCGTCAACATCCATTTCCCGCCCGAAATTTGTCGACCTACAAAACATAACCTTGAATTGATTGTTATTGTACCAACTTTGTAAGTCAGTTTTAAACTTCGTTACGGATGTGTTTAATCAAGGTAATGGCTACCAGTGAGAAGTTCGGAAGTAGTATTTTTTTTGATGCGGAATGCAAATAAACCAATAAGAATTAGAGAATGTCCTCTTTATTGTCGGCTGATTTAGCGGCCGCTTGCAATGCATTGGGTTATTTTGATCCGAAAACTAGTAAATACTATGCCGATGCGAATACCTTGGAGACAGTTAAAGATCTAATACGGTATTTGAGAAAAGACGATGAAAATTACGATATTCGAAGGCAGCTTGGTGAGACTAAAGTGTTGCAGACTGACCTGTTGCCCCTGCTTAAGAACTACTGGGAGGAGACTGATTTATTTGATGTTCTGTTAAGGTACATAGTTGTTTTTGGTTGTTCAATGGTTTAAACAACAATATTTTTTGGAGGAATACTCGTTCCTATTTTAAATATATGTTTGTTTCAGATTGATTGTAAATTTAACTACACCAGCACTTGTGTTATGGAACGAAGAAGCTCCTGTAGAAAAAATATCACGCAATCATTTTTTACAAATAGAAGACCATCTTCAGGGCTATAAAGAAGCCTTTGCCGATGAGGCAGTTTGGGCTGTGCTGAGTACTAGACTGAGTAAACTTTTAGAATTGGTATGTTAACATTTTTCTATTCTGTTCTCGGGAAAATATCAGATTCCACAGACTGTGAGCTATTCAAGATATTAGCACAAACAATAAAGCCTATATCCAATATACTTACCTTCTAGAATTTCCAATGGAATATACAATTTTTTTGATATCCGCCGCAATTACCTCTTTAACATATCTAATACTTTTAACCTAAAACAATGATGCATATATTGATTTTGATTAGTATGAGTTTTAACTGAAGTTTTAACATAAGGTGTATGGTCTATCTCCAAATCATTTCAAAGGTTAAGGGGTGTGCAACATGATATACAAATGATTTCAAATTTACTTTAAGTAGGAATTGGTTTATATGATAGTCTTGAATCATTACAGGGTAAAATTAACAATATGCTAGAGTGCATGGTAAACAACTTTTTGTTAAAACTGTTATTCAAGTATGGCTAATTTATCTTGTCAGTGTCTCGATCTAATTTTTAAAGTTATTGAATACATTTTTACATAGGTAAGGTACCTACTTATCTACTATGAAGTTAGTAACTTTTGAGAAAACTACATAAACAGTTTCTTGGGATTATTCAGCAGATATGCTATAGGATATTTAAACCATTGCACTGTGTCAAAACGCTTTTAATATAGTATAAGTAATTGTATAGACAATTCATTTTCCAATAGTAAAACTGCTGCCCTAGACACTGTAAATGTGTTCTGTTATCTTTATAGTAAATCAGTGGGTATGCTTTTTCATTGAAGAAACATATAGAGGATAAAAGTTACATTAAACAATCCCAAACATACTTTCCAGAATCTTTTTTGCGAAACCTCAAATTTTGTTGTCATTGTGTTGACTATTTTAGCTTATTTTCTAAAATATTGTAATTACAAATGATTTGCAGTATCTTATTAATTATTTCTTTTACCAATTAGAAACGAAGTTCCTTTTGAAAAAAATTTATTATTCCTTACCGGGATGACATAAGAATGAAGGAACATTCTATAACATTTAAACGGCTTGAGATAGCGATTTGAAAGTTGGAATGGTTAATATAGGCTGAATGTCCAATTATTTGACAATGGTTTGAGCGGAAACGACAGTAACTTTCGATGTTTAAATGGCACAACCTATTTTTTTTGCATTGTTGGATTCAGGACATCATTCTACGTAGGATGTTGTTTTGTTTCCTTAAATTTCGATTTTGGAAAATTATGTCTAGGTTGCAGTGCAGAAAAAACTCTCGACAAGCTCATGCAGTGGAAGGAAAAAAAACATATTAATATTTAAAAAAAAATAAAATTCAAAGGAGGGTGGGTTCCTTCTGAGATTCAGCGATTAGAATTTTTTGTGTTTTAGTGTTTTGTATTTTTATTATTGTTTTATTATTTATTTATTTATTTATTTATTATTATTATTATTATATGCTTTTGGAATGAGGGGATACAATCAAAAACTAACGTAAGTATTGTATGTATACATACGCCATAAGCAGTTTTTCCGGAAACTCAACTGCCTGAACTTTTTTACATTAAGCGTTCTTTTCTTGAACGGATTTTAGGCGTTGTTTAATATCGCTATATTTGCATCTGTATCAAATTAAGTATCTTCTGGAGCGTTCAAAATCGAGTTGTCGCTAGCGAATTCCATCATCATTTTCAGATTGCGTCAACTTCAATTTTAATGGAAGCCAGTCCTGAACTGCTGTACCGATTGCAGTTGACCATTAAGCCTGAAGTCTATCAAACAACTCTTTCATTCGCTGGAGTACACTTTTCGAGCTTGGTCATTAGTTGCTAATATCGAACGTTTTCATGGAACGTTATACATCAAAGCAAAATCATTATCGATTAAAATTTCCCTACGCAAATAATTAATGTAGTTACGGGCATCGACTGATAACATGTTTGTAATTCTATTAGACGAGACGCTTTTATCAATTTGGCATCCTATTGACTAAAATTGCATGTGCCCACTCGCTTATTAAAGTCGGACTTATCTATCGTCGATCTAAAGGATTACCTTCGTAATTTAAATAACACGATATTTCTGAAATCAGAGTAACGGTTTTGGTTTTTTTTTATAATATATTTGTAAGACTGTAGCAAGCTATCCAGAGATTATCATAAAGTCAAAGTTACGTTTTGAACAGAAATAACAGATTAAGTAGGCAACACTTACTTAGTGATGGAAATTTAAAACCTTTTCCTTCTTTCAATATGGTTTTCGTTATGGTAGGTTATCGCCTGTTTATCCTAGTAAAGCCTCTCCTGAGGACTATGTTCAGCATCCACAGCGGTCCTTCGATGGATCTTTTCCTGACTGGTAGATTATTGTTTGCTATTTTTGGCAATCGGTCGTCGTTTATTTTGTATACGTGGTTATTCCAAAATTTTCTTCGTATTCTAACCCATTTTGACACGTTTTCATTTTTCACTGTGTTGTATAGTGATTGTCCTAACATGGATGTTACTGTTTTCATTTCCACTGTGCTATATGTTCGAGTATAGATCTAACTGCGCCGGTATTGTATCCTTGCTTTGTTCTCATTGTTTAGATATTTGTTCCTACATATATCTTTTAGGCATCCCAAAAATACGAGAAGAATTCTATGCATTTTAATCTGCTTTAATAATATTAAATTTGAACTCTATAGTTCATTCATTAATAGAAACTATCATAAAATAAGAAACTACATAGTTTAATAATTTGTTTAGACCAAAATTATTTTGTATTTAATCCCATCCCATATTCAACACCGAACCCAAAATTTATAAAACAATAAAATAGATATTAGAACCTAGCAAGAAAATTTGGAAATATCTATCTAAATTTGATCTTAAACCATAGGACATTTTTTTAAAAAATAATTAAGCTAAATTACGAAAAATCAAAAATCCTTAGTCTACAAGTTGAAATGTGGATCATGACCCAAAATTTATTTCGGACAAACAGGTAGAACATTTAAGAACCGCATTAACGAACATAAAATGGCGTATAAAAATAAAAGGTCGAATTCTCAGAATTGCACAAGTTTGGCTATAATTTTGATATTTTATATAATCAATCAAGAAACAAAAAACTAAATTTGTTGGAAGCCATGGAGATTAACAAAATGAGATATTCGAATCTATTACTTAATGACTTACTTAATGTTGCCTCTCATAAATCATTAAATTACTTTCAACATCTGAACATTTTTTGTTCTGAATAAAGCAATTTTTTGTCAAGAATTCTCTATACCTATTTATATTATTTATATATTTACAACTAACAATGTGGCAGTATTTTTCACACAAGTAATATAGATAAAATAGATTCAAAAAATGGCACAGCTCATTTTCGCTTGTACGAACATTTTGTAAAGAAGAAATAAATTTCAATTAAGCACACCCTGTTTTCACAAGATAGCTTCTTTAATTTCTAGGGTTAACAAAATATTAAAAAATAAATTGGTAACAAAATTTTAATATTCTTAACGGAGGTGTCGTTACAGGTACGTCTTATTTTACCCCCCAACTTTATGGAGATATTTTTTGGGTGAGAATGAAGTTTTGGTTAACAACTATGAAGTAAAAATATTGTAAATTATTTTGTCAGAAATAATTTTTAGGGTATTTCTGGAACAATAAAAATAAAAAACGATTTATGCCCCTATTCAGTGGCGTATCTTCCGAAAAAGGCAGTAACCGACACAAGTCTATAAAACGACGCTAGTTTTATTTTTGAATGTTCGATTTACCCTAGAAATTCGCTGAACCACGGTTTCAAAAAAACACCATGAATATGTTGCGTGTAGCAGAAATTGATAAAAATAATCAACATCTCAGGAAATCCACTTGAATTTTATTTCATTTTTGTTAGCAGCCAAAGTATAATCATTGTTATTGCATCAACCTAAATCTAAACTAAAATTAACTAACCAAAACAAATTTTTCTTTCTTTTGTCGCACTTAGACATGCGTAAGCGAATCGTAAAGATTGTCAATAGGATCAATAAAACCCTTGAGATATGCACTAATCTACAGGATATCCTGTTTGAATGCTTATTGCAAAAATGCAGGTTCTTAAAGATACATATGTTACATAGTGACAACTTTTCTTTCGAACCGTTTTTGCAAATTTTTACTCTTCTTCTGAAAGGGCCATTTTATATTTTATTATATTTTTGCTGATGTAAATTACTGTGGTTATTTTGCTTTTAGGATTATTCTGAGCGGGGCGATGAAAATAGCCTTATTATCGAGAGAATTCTTATTTTGATACGGAATGTCCTGTACGTACCGGCTGACGTAATGGAGAAAAGGCCGGACAACGACGCTAGTATCCACGATCAAGTAAGTGGATTATTGTGAATATAATAGTGGCGGATGCTTTATGAATTTGTATGAGATATAATTTTCCCTTATAACAGATCACAAGCAAACAGTAGGAATATGTATATATATATATATATATATATATATATATATATATATATATATATATATATATATATATATATATATATATATATATATATATATATATATATATATATATATATATATATATATATATATATATATATATATATATTCACGTATTGATTCACGGATGGAAAAATGTGATGACACTATATTCCGGGATATCATCCGTTCGCTCGTTGAACTCCGACTGGAATCCTGCAGACGTTTCGCCAAAATCTCACTTGGCATCTTTAATGCTCGCGCTCCGAAAACACTTCGAACACAGGAGCGCGAGCATTGAAGATGCCAAGTGAGATTTTGGCGAAACGTCTGCAGGATTCTAGTCGGAGTTCAACGAGCGAACGGATGATATCCCGGAATATAGCGTCATCATATATATATATATATATATATATATATATATATATATATATATATATATATATATATATATATATATATATATATATATATATATCACGTATTGATTCACGGATGGAAAAATGTGATGACACTATCTTCCGGGATATCATCCGTTCGCTTGTTGAACTCCGACTGGAATCCGGCAGACGTTTCGCCAAAATCTCACTTGGCATCTTCAATGCTCGCGCTCCAGTGTTCGAAGTGTTTTCGGAGGGCGAGCATTGAAGATGCCAAGTGAGATTTTGGCGAAACGTCTGCAGGATTCCAGTCGGACTTTAACAAGCGAACGGATGATATCCCGGAATATAGTGTCATCATATATATATATATATATATATATATATATATATATATATATATATATATATATATATATATATATATATATATATATATATATATATATATATATATATATATATATATCCATTCATTCCATGTTCAATTTTCGGCTGTAATTCAAACACGAAATTAAAGCCGCGCCGTTTCTAAAATCAACGTTGTTCCCGGCCAAAGAAATTTCTTTGATTTCTGCACCCATTAATCATGAAATTTAATTTGGAGTCCTATATTTGAGAAGCGGATTGAATCTTGTTTCGAGTTTCGTGGTTCTACGGATGGAAAGTGAAGAGGTGGGAGGTGGGATAACGGGGTTATTGTTTCATTCACTTTAATATCTCTCAGCGTTATTGAATTTTAAGCTAGTGTTTTTGATAACATGCAATTAATTAAAAAAAAGTGGATGTTTAAGTAGATACTTGGACAAAGGCATTCTTCGTACAAACACGTGCAGTAACACTCAAAAATGAAAAAAAACTTGTCTGTAATATATTGTTAAAATCTATTACTTTATGCTTTTACTTCCTTTCATTTGGTGACACTTATTTTTTTCTATTTTTAGTATTTATATAGTGCTCTAATTGTTATGTTGTTATTTTTGTAAAAGATTCGCTAAATCGATGTTTTTAGGGGATTTTAGTTATTTCTAGCAGAGAACGGAGCGAATTAATTTTTGTTTCATTTTTCTATAGTATATATTTTAGTATACCTGGTTCGTATACTTTAAATTATACAGATTGATGTAAGAGGTGGTGCTCTATCGCTCCAAAACATTTACAAGTATGCAGTGTTGCCGTTTGCATATAAACATGACGTGCTTAGTTTAATTGGTACCCCAAGTGTGGCGTCTGTACATTAAGCTGAGTTTTATAATTGGGCGGACTACGTACATTCGATCTTTGATTTTTTCTGGTTATGTTGGTGCGTATCTCCCTAACATTGTTCATAGTTTCAGCCAGTTTGCGCGTTTACTTTTTTTTGTGAGGCAGAAGTGTTAGACGTGCTTGGTGTGCTCGGTGATTTTATGCTGTCAAAAAATGTAAGAAAGTATGTGTGTACAATTTTGCGTAAAAAATGGAATACAGTGCTGCAAAACACTTGAAATATTATATGAAGAGAAAAAATCGCAGGAAGAACTTAAGACTGTGCAGGGTGCCTCGAGGATTGGAAAAAACGTTGACACAAGTGTATTATATATCCGAGGGGACTTATTTTGAAGGGGACAACATTAATTTTAATAAATAAATACTTTTTGATATAACTCGCACTGGGACAGAATAAACTTTACAAAACCTCATTTTCATTTAATTTTAGTTTTTTCCAACAATTTTGCACTTTTTTAATAATTTAATAAAATATAATAAAGTATGACCGCTCCCAGAAACTGTATACAAAAGTTCAACTTTCTATTCAGTTAAAGCACGGAACTATTAAGATTTCTTCAAGAGTCCAAATTCCTTAAATATCTAAGAAATTATTTTTTATTTCGACAATGGTAAGACATACGTAGGCCGAATAAAAATGTTTGTTGAGTAGAATCTAAAAGTGAATTGATATAAAGAGGGTACCATTTATAGTAAGCAAGATGATGCCAGAAGCATACTTGAAAATATTTTAGAGTGATGGAGCACTCAATCCTGTTTAATTTGAAGTAAGTTGACCTGTTTACCCGTTACCATCCATTGTGCGCCATCATTATTATAGTATCTTATTTTATATAGTTCACAAATCATTGGTGCGCTCAAGATAAAGACACATATAAGAAAAAAAAAGAATTAAATTTTATATAGTAATTATTTAACAAGTGTGTAGTTGAAAATTATTAATTATCTGTTTGTTATAAGAGGTATAAAAATAAAATTCTAAATGAAATTGGTGGTCTATTACCCCTATTACTTCACCTAGTAAGATGTTGTTTATCCCAGTCGAAATCGAGGCGGCATTTGTCGAAAAACAAATTCGACTTATCAAAAATTCCAGTTATTCTTAGAATAGTACGTATATAAACAGTTTTTTTTATTTGTAAGCAGTTTTACTAAAACGTATATGTGCATGATATGTACATGTAATAAATATTTAAATATTTCAAAATCGTCAAATGATGTAAGATTTGACTTCCTCGCAGCTCTTCATTAAAAAGGGAGAAATAAAATAGACTTACTTACATATACCAGCAACCATAACCATAAACAAAATTAGTACACATTTCATACTAGGATTTAATTATCAGTTACATTTTTTTCTATAACCGTGCCGACATTTATTATCAGGTATTGTGGGCTATACATCAATCGGGCATGCTGGATATCATCCTCTACGTAACCAGTTCATCGGTAGAACATATGTATTACTTTCACATATTGGAAATATTGTCGTTTATGATGCGCGAACAGAGGCCGTCTGATCTTGCCAGCGCAGCTCTACAGCGCAGTCAAGTAGAAAAAGTGCGCGATGAAGCCGAATTGCTGGCGATAAGGCATCGGGAAACGAGAGACAAGCAGAAAAAGGCCAAAATGTTCGCCGGCGCCAGGTACGTTACCGGAAAACGATGTCCTCAGCTTTCAGATTTTACGAAGCGTCAGCGTGAAAATGAGGGTTAATTTGTTTAATTTAAGTGTAATTGACACCTTGTTAGCCTTTCTCGAGAACGGTATTATTTTTCACGGTTTGATTGATGCCTCTAGACATAAAAAATTGATTGACGTGCGTAATGTCTTGAATAAGATCCTATCGTAAGGAAATTCGATTAATTTAATTTCGCGGCTGGTACCGCCTATTTTCCTAAAATTCGCCAATTGGTTTTTTTATTTTTTTTATAGCTAATGAATGGTTAGCCTTTTGTTGATCTTGACGTAGAGAATCTATCAAAAATATCAAAGAAACTTGAAGTCATCTATTTGGATTTATTTATATGTCTATAGAATATTAGTATAAATACAGGGTGTTTGTATTTTCGTGGATAAGTAGCAATTTTCTCATTTTAAATAGAATACCACGTATATTGAGTAATTTTTTTATAAATTCTCGAGACATTTCGTATATAATATCTTATACCTAAGTTGTTTCGCTTCTGATATATTTTTAATTTTATCTCAAAAGTGAAGTTTGTAGCTTGTGTTATGCCGGGCGCGCACAGTGGATGGCCTACTGCCAAACGGATCCAGGGATTTATTTTACATAATACACCGTGAAGTAAGAGGTGGTACTCTACATTCTAAAAGATTCCACATAAACATGGCAAAAGTCTTGATGGCGCCTTCTGCATTTCTTTCTATTTTTAGCTTCGACACAGCAAATAAAGTAGATTTTGTTCAGGTTTCCCTATACCTGTGTCTTACACTTTCAACTGACACTGATACCTTAAACCTTAAAAGTTTCGTGCTTTTATTAAACGAAAAGCAGAACTTTTCCAGACAGCTCCTGGAAACGCTCAGGCATTCTTTCTTGGCAAACCGCTTGAAACGGAACATGCAGATCAACAATAAGATTTTTTACTGGAGTTCTAGAAACACTTTTTATTGAGTTTTTTTTTTAAATAGCAGTACCTGTAAATTCTTTCATTTTCGAATTTTAGACCGTATACCTCTCTTTCACCATCTTTGTAATATAAATTAAATCTCATAATTTTTCCGTGATATCAATCAGTATTGAACCATTCAAAGAAAATTTTGCACGGAAACAGAGCGAAGTTCGTAAAACTTCATTTTCATTTATTTTTAATTTCTATCTCCCTATTTCGCCCTTTCTCGACATTCGCTTTAATTATGATAATCTAATAAATTTATGACAGCACCTTTTAAATTGTTAACCTGGCCACAATGAAGGCTTCGGAACTTGACAGAAAGGAATCTCCTGTATATGTGCGAAACATTCTTCGAAGTGAGGATGTTTAATGTTGATGTAAGATAAAAATCATGAAACGATAATTTATTTCAAAGACGGTACGGGAAAACTTGAACAAAATTGGGCACTTCTTTCATATAATTCGAAATTAAAGGAATATGCAACGTAATAAATAACAATAAAACTTGTTTTTAGAATTCCAGTACAACCTGTATGGCATGGCGGCAAAGATTTAATTAAAATACGTAAATATCAAGATTTTTTCAAGGATCCAATTGCTTAAAAATCTAGGAAATTATTTTTTATTTCGGTAATGATATGCATAGTATGGTACATCTGTAATAGAGAAATCTACTTGATTTCATGAATTGAATCTAAAAATCAAATGATCTACAGGTAGTGCTAGTTAAACATGTCAAATTAAATTATAATTTTATATTTTTGAATTTTTCAAAGAAACGTCCGCAGGCCACTGTAATACTATTTACAAATCTTCTAGATTCGTTCAGTTAACTGAAACTGAAAGTTACCAACCGACGTAGGAGGAATTTTATCATATTTCGCATTTTAAAAAGGGCTAACTTTTTGGCGATATTGAAAAAATTGTGGATTTCGGAATTTTAGGATTAAAACAATTGAGTACTACAGAAATGTCAGTATTTGACAATATTTGACGTTATGGCCACCTAACTTAGACATTTTGTTAGTTAGTGGTTATTTTAATAGAAATAAACGATGTCAGTTGTATACACTAATTAATGGAGGCAATAGTCAATCAAACAAATTAAAAAGTTTATTATTTTCAACATTCAGAAGAAATATATAAAAACATGAGATTTTTTTAAAAATGTAAATTTTTTCTGATATTTAATATTAGACATTTTTTAGAGTTTTTTTTGGTATTTGTTATATTAATAATTATTATTAAACAAATAACATTTTTTGTGGTAATACATAATTAAGGGATGATTTATAAGATTTATAATAAAGTTATCAAGGAACAGTAAATTGGTAGGTGCCATTTGTTTAGCAGTTGATCACTTTTTTCCGTCTGGTTTTGCCGTTTTCTTCTCGGCCAATTAACAGCCGTTTGGTCCGTTTACAATTGAATAACGTTTTATTGCTATTTCGAAATCTTCAGCTTTTTGAAATAGGAAACCTAATCCATTCACCATTTTTTTATTCGCTAAATATAATAACATTATAAAAATAGGGTTTCTTCATTAAAAAAAAAACTTTTAACTATTTTTTCGTATTTTTTCTTCTTAGACCTGCAAATGTCACATTCGACATAAAATTTAGAAGACGTTAAGACTATATAAAATATGTTTAGGCAGTTCCAGAGAATTAGAAATGCCTTAATTTAATTTACCAATGTAATATTTTCAAAGCACAACTTTTGTCTTTTTTGATATTTTTTGCAGATTGTATTTTCCTATAATAATAAATGGACCACCCCGATTCTATTCCGAAATTTACCTTTTCTAATCGGATATGTAGTTTAATTCAGTGATTGTAATTCTATTTGCGTTTAAACGTAGAAATGCCGAAATAAATTGACTCAAAAACTTAGCGTATAATTTTAAAATTACCTCGGAAGTTTCGAGTAGAGTTTTCGCTTTGAAATTTACTATTATAAAATAATTTTATATTCGTCGCCGGTAATTCGGAAAGCGAAATTATATAGAAAACTGAGAGATTTTTTTCTTCTGTAATTGGTACGGGATTAATCATTAGTTTCCTCGCATTAATCAGAAGTAATTGAAAGTTTTGAAGCAAATAAATAATATGACACAACTCTATTTTATTGTTGCAGACATTCGAGATTCGGAGGCACCTATGTGGTGAAGTCGATGAAGTCGATCGGTGAGAACGAACTTATTTACCACAAGCCGTTGAAGAAATTGGACGAGTTAACCTTCGATGATGACAAGCGCAAATTGAAAACACCAAAAAATCGACAACCGGTAAGCCAAACTTTCGTAGATGGAGGTATTTTTCGCGTCTCATTTTGTCACTGCCTTTCTAGATTATAGCCTGCACATCAGAAAGGCGCAGCGCTTTCAGCATACGACTTTTCCTGAAAGAGTTTTGCGTTGAATTTTTGAACGGCTCATACAACACTATGATGTATCACGTGAAGGACAATTTGGTGCGTGCTAGGGGACGTGTCCAAAGCAATGATTGCTCTTACTATTTTTGGGCCATGCGGTTTTTTATGGAGTTCAACCGCCACTACAAATTCGAAGTGAAATTGATCAGGTAGGTAAGATTTATATTCCGCGGAGTAGCAATATTATACCGCTACGCACACAGACGATATTTTTTAATTGAAACTAATAACTACGTAACACCTACCCCCATCACTATCCGGTTCAAAAATCATTGGTTTATAGGGTCGTAAAACTATCTCAACGCGAATCACTGACCTCAGAATTAAAACACTAATCATCTGCTTTCTCTGAAATAATTTCCGCAGATATTAGGGTTCCATTGCAAAATATACCTCACCACCATGTCCCAAAGAAAATGAGTCCGAAAGCAACCCCACACTTGCCAGTGTGGTCCTTCATTACATTTAAATAATGTTAAAAGTTCTGTTCGAGACACAGAGTTAATAGTATTCCATGCATTTGCGGTAAAGAATACATTGATGCGACAAGACGAAAAATATCAACTTGGCTGAAATAACATGGAAGAGCCTTAGACTGAGACCAATAAAGTCATCAGCAGTTGCTGAACATAATCATTAAATCTTATTCGACCAAACTAAAATTATTGCATTTAATCAACGCTTCTACCAAAAAAAAATCCGAAAATTTATAAAAATATCTGTTAAGGGTCGAATAACATTTTTATGTAACTTTATAATTTTTTTCCTTTGAGTTGACCTTTTATTTTTGCGTCGTGTATACAACATCCCCACCATACTCAACCTTTGTTAAGCCGCGAAAAAAGACAGACTTGCGTTAGCGTGTGTTGTGGTCCTTACGACCCCCAAACCTCCAGGAAATACCCCTAAGAAGACCCGGCTGGGTAGACGGCGACGCGGGAAACCATCAAAGGTGAGTGATTAGCCGTTTCGGGTGTTGTATGTCCTACCGTTTTCTTGCCGCTTTTTCCCGTTTAAGTTTTGAAGGTGATTTGCAACCACCTTCCCCCAACCCTTTACCATATCCAAACAACCAAACAATCTTAACCGACTGACCAATATGGGAATATTCATTTTCATCCTCTTCAAAAAGTATATAACAGAGGAACATAATTACAGAATATAATTCAAGGAAGCCAATGGTAAAACGTCAGTTAGTTCTATTGGTCAACAACCAACGCAGGAGGAATCCAGAAGATTTGTAAATAGTGTTAAGTGTGGAAGTTTTTTTGAAAAAAGAAAATTAATATTTATTTTCTCTTCTAAAGTCGGTGTGGTGTTTTAGATATTGTTCATTTTGTTGTTTGTGTTCTTTTTATGCCACCATGCGCGTGAAACTTTTCACATTATAATTTTTTCATTGAACCAATTATGCCTCATCCCTTGATCGAATCACTTAAAATCTGAGGAAGCGAATCGAGGGCAATCGTCAGGAATTATGTGCGAAGGCCCGATAATTTGCTAGCAATAATAACGTCAATCAATTTGGGCGGCAGCACTTTCCTTTCGCGTCGATCAACGATAGTTGCCTCAATTCCTAGGAACAATGCAGCACTATCCGGTTTATATTGGATCCGAAATAATAAATAAATTCCCGCTCCCCGAATCATATTAAACTAGATGGAAGCGCATTTAAATTTTAAAACAGTCATTCCCTGGCGTGACGTTTCGACGAGCAAAAATCCGAACGCGCGGCGACATATGTTCTATCGCGGCACTTGCCATACAAAAATACTTTTAAAAATCTCGCATATGAAAGTCCGCTTATGCGAAGAAAATGGAATATTGGGTAAACACGCTTTAATAAACGTTTCCACTGCGAGACACTGGATAGTCAACTGACAGCTTGTCGTTAGTCCAGGGTCGCGCGTAACTCATTAACGTGGGGTTAATCACTGGGGTCTTTTAGTGTACAAGAAGAAAAATTCCAAGGCATATTAAATGTCGAACTCAGCAAGTGTTTAAATAGCATCGACATTAAATCCAGAGCGCTTCGTGGGACCACTAACTGCACACACCATGTATACTTGTCAATTTCATCGGTCACTTAAACATTCTATGTATCATCTATATCACGACGACATCAATTTGTATACGTCCTGTGATGAAAGTAACATCAACGTGCCAATTATTAAATACTGACGCAAAGTAGTCTGTTGTAGTTTTTGGAATTGATATTCAGGTTGAAAAGGTAAAAGATATTTTAACAAAATTTGACCACTTGTCATTGCAATTTTCAGATTATTAGGATAGTTCTTTGCAACTTTTTGTCCCCGTGAAGTTAACTTAATTACAAATTAAGTTAACTTAATTACAAATTTCTGGAAAACATTCAAAAAGTTAACTTAATTACAAATTAAGTTAACTTAATTACAAATTTCTGGAAAACATTCAAAAAGTATATTGGGAAAATTATGTTCCCTAAGTGAGTATTATTATTTGATTTGATAATTTGGTGTTTTTAAAAAAAAAGCTTTGCCTTTTTATTGCTGACATGTTTTAATTTTGGTTAGTCTCGTCATACTTTTTCCACGAATTAATTATAGTTAAATTGTTAGTTGTGTTAAGGAAGCAGTTTTAGTTAGTTTGCTAGTGGCATTTATTTAAAATTCAAAATTAGTTTTTGTTTTTTTCTTTCCTTTCACGTGTTTTATTTATGTAATAATTGTTTATGATGTCACTAAATCATTGTGATTTGGAAATGTTTAAGGTATTTTTTTCAAAAAACATATTTTTTCAATGATTTATCTGTCATTCAATATTTAATTATAATATAATGTAATTATAATGTAAATATGATTGGAAATTAGCAGCTGATGCTTCGAATCTTCTGTGGTATATCTCGACATTAACATAAAGTAACATAATTGATGGATTTTCCGACATACATCCGAGCACGCACTAATATTGAAATGAGAATAAACATCGGCCAATCGCTTTGCCGAACATGCGACGCTCCAAAATGCTAACAACAGAAAAATTGAGACAGCTGAAACGACATTTGCGAAGTAAAAGCCTTCCATAAGCCAAACTTTAATCTCGGGATCGCTTGGAGGGAAACTGCTCGCATTATCGTTTTCGATTTGAAAATACACTTTGGCACAAAGGCGTCGCCCGCAGTATCTTTAACGGCACATGTAGCATTTGCTTCAGTTTAATGTACGCTCAAAATCTGGTATTAATAGAGCGCATTTGTTTGAAATGCTCTCAATAACTTATTGATTTCATTGGTTATAATTGAAAATAAATGGGAAAATTTTCCTGGTCGCTGGTTCACCTCTATGACCACAAATTAATAATGTGTAATTTTAAATAAATAATTTTAATTTAATTAATAACTATAAATATTCAACGATTTGTATTTTTAAATAAATAATTAACATAATTATAATAATAAATAAGTAAATGATAATAATAATAATAATAATAATAATAATAACAACAATAATAATAATAATAATAATAATAATAATAATAATAATAAATTAACAATTTTACAGAAACTAAGGTTAAGTTTAAGACATATATTCAAGGATTGAAGAATTGTACTGTATTTTTCCGATTAAATTTTGGTGTTTATTCTGTGTTGTGGTATATTCATACTTAACAGTGTGAATCCTAGAGTGATTTTTCCAAGAAAAGTTATTACTAATATATGCCGCAAATCCCAGCTATAGATTGTTGAATTTCTAAGAAAAAACTAACTACGTAGTTATTTTTTGGAACTTAAAAATTAAGAGGTTAACGACATATTACTATGTTCTTTTCAAAACACTCAATGATTCACATTACCTGCCACACTGTTGCACTATTAAATATCAAATAGACTTTTTTTTTCACCTTATAGTTTAACATTAAAAATTTTGGCTAGTTTTTTTTTAGTTTGGTCTAGCAAAAAGTGATATTCCTTTTTTTTTTCGTTTTTCGTGCTTTTCTCTAATATATACGTTTTAAAAATTGCATTCAAATAATATTACTAAGACATCGATGTTGTTAAAATTATGAATGGTAAATTCGATCATCCACTCAAAAAAAAAAACAAATTCTGCACTTATATCAGATTACATCGTGTTTGTTAAATATGATTTATTGATCGAAATTGCACATGACGACTCTCTTTTTTTAAATTTTGAGATTGAGTTTAGAGACTAGTTTTGTCTCGACCTGGTGGTCTCACAGTACCACAAAGATAGAAAAGAAAAGACATGTATAAAATGTCCTTTTGTTATAATATTGTCCAATTTTACTATCGATAGAAATGATAAAGCTTTATATTTGTATTGTTTTTTGTAATTGTTATTAAACTTTAATTGTCTACAATATGCGTAAAACTACCCGCCGTATTTGCTGTGTTACTCTGTTGTTAGCCACAGGGTGGGTCAAAACGAATGGGTCAGCATATTCTTCCAATCGTCCAATTGTCTTGTTGGCTTCTTCAGAGCTTGACTGAAACTGACTCGCATTTTACTCTGTACTTACTTTTATATTGTTTGAGGGGGCGGAGCTAAATGAGGAGCACAAACACCGTCTCGGTTGACTGATTTCCATATTGGTGACAGGTAGAGACCTGAGTCGCGGTTAAGATTGATAGGTTGCTTTCGTTTGGTAGAAGAATTGATTACTTGCAAAAATTTTAGTTTTATTGAATAACATTTTATGTCCGGTTTCGTGATTGTATTCGGCAATTTCTGATGAGTTTATTTGTCTTAGTCTTAATGCTCTTTCATGTTCTTTGAGCCTAGTTGATATTTTTCGTTCAGTCTCTCCAATGTATCCTTTGCCGCATATGCATGGAATGCTGTAAACTCCTGATATGTGGTCAGTGATGTTTTGAATATAAGGAAGAACGAATAGTGGCAAGTGTGGGATTGCTTTCGATTTCATTGCTATTGGAAGGTTGTGGTGAAGTGTATTTTGTGATGGAATGCTTAATATCCTTAATGTGGAAATTATTAGGGAGAAGAGCAGAGGTAAGGTGTTTTAATTCTGGGTTCAATGACTCGGGCTGAGATAGTTTTACGGCTCTGTAAACAAGAGAGTTGATAACCGATGAATTTTGGGCCGGATGGTGATGTGACAATGCAAGGTATCGGTCTGTGTGCGTAGGTTTTCTGGAAACACAATGACAATATCTAAGAATGGCAGGTCATTAGTTTCTATTTCAATGGTAAAACGTATGTTAGGGTGTATAGAGTTTAAATATTTAAGAAAATCTACTAGGGATTCCTGACCATGAGGCCAAATAACAAAAGTATCATCGACGTAGCGTTTCCATAATTTTGGTTTTAGACGGAAGGTGTCGAGAGCTTTCTCCACAAAGGCTTCCATAAATATATTCGTGATGACTGATGATATATTAGATGTACCACTTGTCTAAAAATCTCTTGACATCCTCGATCCGTCAAAGACAAAATTTAATTTGATTTGCAAGCAGTTTACAGCATTCCATGCAAAAATATCAAGTTGGCTCTAAGAACATGAAAAAGCATTAAGACTCATCAGCAGTTCTCGAACACAATCACGAAACCGGACATAAAATTTTATTCGATAAAACTAAAATTCTTGCATGTAATCAATTCTTCTACCAACGAAAAATCCACGAGACATAGAAACCTATAAGCAACCTAACAATCTTAACCGCGACTCACCAATATAGGAATCAGTCATCCGAGTCATTAGCTCCGCTCCCCTCAAACAATATAAAAGCAGGTACAGAGTAAAATGCGAGCCAGTTTCAATCAAACTCTGAGGAAGCCAACAGGATGATTGGCGAAATGTTAGCTAGTTCAATTCAACAAAAACCGACGCAGGAGGGATCCAAAAGTTTTATAAAAAATATAACAGTAGCCTACCGAAGTTTCGTTGAAAAATTGACGTAATCAGTTTTACAATACTATGTAGATTGCGCCACTTGCACACACTTTTTTGCAAAAATACCATTACATTTTTTTGGTATATTCTCAATTTCGAATAGTTTGTTAGATATAATTGCAATCAAATTAATTTTTATGTAATTAACTAACTTAATAATTATTACAAAAACAAAAACTTTTAACGCTTGTTTTACAAAATGGATTTTTAATTGGGAACTCATTAACAGCTGCCGACTTTTGAGTCAGAGTTCTTCATGTCTATTTAATGGGTCTCTATTTACTACTTATTTAATATAGCCCCAAAAACAAAAATCCATTGGATTAAAATCCAAACTGCGTGCCGACCATTCAAGAAACGAATTTCTGACAATCCAGCGGTCATAAATATTACGAAAAAACTTCCTGTCTCGATGGTATCTGTGATGGAGCATCTCCAAATACCGCCAATTTGAAAACCTATTATCTCTGGGTGTATTTAACGGAAATTGCGGAACGATAAATGAACACAAATAGTAACTTTCAAAAATAACGTAACTGTCATGATTTTCTATGCCTCCTAATATTTCAATTGAACCAAAACCTACTTTAATTTTATTAGGTGAAAACCTTACTAAAAAGTAAGACAGCTTATCGAGTAGTATACTTTTCTTTGAAATTAAAATATCTGGTAACAAATTAATAATTTCCAGGAATTGTAATACTTTTTACATTTGCGGTAAAACATATTTCACAAAAAACGCATTAGATATCTTGAAAACGGCTTAAAGAACAGATGTTCAACAATACTTTTTTTGTTTAGAATGTACCAGAAAGTGACTGTCTTATCAGAAATTATTCGACGAATTCGACGATATGAAAAAATAAAGTGATTTTTGTAAACAAGTATATGCAGGCAACGCCACCTAGAAGTTAACGCACAACTTAATACACCATCTAATTTCTCATTCCCGAAAACCTTCGCATGCCTATATTATTAAAATTGTTAACATAAGTAATAAAAAACAAACAAAAAAAATTACTTTTATCACCCCGTATCTCCGTAAGGGTTCACTTTAGGACATCATTTTCTTTGCCGGTATTCTATGGTCCATTGGAATTGATAAATCTTGTACATTTTGCAGGCTTATAGCAATTAAGGCATAAATAATAACAATAATAACTTGCAGAAGTTTTTTTTATTTAAAATTTTAAACTAATTTAGTAGACGAGAAGTCTGTAACTTACTCCTCAGACACACAGAGTGACACAAACGGTTTTTCGCAATTTCAAAGATCTTAAGCTCGTATTAAAATATTGGCTATTTTTGTCATTATGGTAAATTACAAAAAATATCACTTTATGTTTAGAAATATGCTTGACAAAATTTACTTGGACTGTGAAGGTCCGATTCTCGTTAAATAAATTGGCAACATTCTCGCTCTAGTGATGTTCTTATCGACCCGTTATCAAAATTAGTCTGTGAAGTTGACTCTGTTTTGACGGGTTTTAATCCCTCACACCCTACGTATGAAAATTTTGGAAAAATTTAAAAAATAAGTAAAATTTCTATGGTTCGTGTTTTTCCTGCTTTGCTTACTGCATATTACTAATCGCCCTATAAATTTTCCCTTTCAGTGAAACTATGTCAGTGCAAACCTTCCACTACGTACAGCAACAAAGCGAACAATTCTACGATTTAATAGCGAGCGACAAGAAGCGGCTGAAATTGTGGTCGAAGCGACTTCACGTGGCTCTCCTGGCTTACCGGGAGCTATTTTTGACCCTAGCCGCGATGGATAAATCGACCGAGAAAAGCGTTCAAGATTCATCAAAGGTCATAAAGAATAACATCTTCTATATTCTGGAATATAGGGAATTTATATTGGCCCTGTTGGTCAATTTTGACGAAACCAAAATGTCCGACCAGTACCTGAAGGACTTGATCGAGACGCAGCACATTTTCCTGAAAATGCTGGAGAACTTCTGCGGCAAAGACGGAACCTTTATTGTTCAACAGAAAGCAAGGAAAGCCAAAAACAAGACGAAAAAACAAATCAAACGTGAGTTTAGATTTTTATTACTTGTTTATTTTATTCGAAATCGGGCCAATTCCGGTAAAAGCACGAATCTTATACCTCGCGTTCAGATTGATTTATCAAAATTTATCGTCGGCGTGGCATCTGGAAAACCCAATTAGTTTTAAACCATTCCGCTGTTACGAAATTGGAAAATAGACCTGGTTCCAGAGAAGCAGTCAGGTTTTAGTTAATGTTTTTGACTTGTAATTTATCGGGACTTGCATTTTACTTAGCCTAGCCGAACGGAATTGGAATTGTCACGTTTTAGAAATCGATTCCTGAAATTGGGGAGAGAAAACGTCCGCGGGACGTGCCCAACTGAAAGGACGCATATTATCATCCGGTTGGTGGCGACAGTTACTAGTCCACCCAAAGGGTTATTTATTACTATTTACTATTATATATATATATATATATATATATATATATATATATATATATATATATATATATATATATATATATATATATATATATATATATATAATGGACTGAACTAAAAAAATTATTGAAAATTATTAAAATCTGTTTTATTGACTGATTTATATATATTTGAACTATTATTTTTTTTTAATCATTTGGAACTTTTCGTTTTAGAAAGATCAGATTTATATGTACCAGAGTATTAATAATATGCAAGTCTTGCACCAATGTTATCATATCCCGGAGAACTGTTATTTTTTTGGGATGCTATCAGCTCAAAATAATCATTAATGTAGTTTGTGATTGTTTTTTATTTTCAAGTTGGTTCTATATATTTTATACATTTCGAGAAGCATCCTATGGTTTTTGGGGCATTTTTTAATATGTCCTTCTTCAGTTGATCACGATGTTTTATAGAGGTTATAACACCATTTGTGACGCAAAGTTTGGGTTTAACATGAAGTTTTGTTCTAGATTTGACATGTTTCGCTAAAAATTTGCAGGCTGTTTGATTCATTTTTCGGAATGACCGAGTTCCAATAATGTTAACCGTAGGTGTTTAAATTTTATCTGTCCAAAATAACTTATGGTCTCTGCAATGGGCTGTGGTTTATCTCGTTTTTTTACTAATTTGTAAATAAATAGGTAGCGATCCGTTGTGTTGTTTATAATAATTATAAAATAAGATTTTGGATCGTTTTTCATTTTTACTAAAAGAAGCTTCTTTCTCTCTCTTTATTAAATGAACCATTTTAGTTTTCTTTTTAAATATTCAAATTTCTCTTTCTTTACTGAATACACTTTTCGTTTTCTTTATAAACAAGTATTTGCACATCCAACCTCTTAAACGGCAACAGAAAAAATGGATTACAAAACAAACGGTTTCTATAAAGCACTTAACAGATTTGACAGCCATTTCGGTGGGGGAGAGCGAATTCGAATCCGCGAAACTCAAATTGAAAGTCGAAACTTGGTCGTAGCAGTTCGGCAGAATTACCTTGGTCCGTTCAAATTCTTATGAAAATTAATGGAAATGCCGTCCCCCTCTTTTTTATATCGCAACGGGGCCAAAACTTGATGATTTCCGACGTGGCAAAAGTTTTTACGGGACGCTTTCCAAAATTGGCCAACAATGTCCCTTATTAGTAAAGATGATAGCAATCAGGGACCTTTTTTTCTCACAATAACGAGGGAGTCGCATGTTGCGAGATAATTTTAAATTACCTTGGATTATACGGCTCGGGCAGCGGGAGAAAATCATTTTTTCACTTTTCGTTTTCGGAGTAAAATGATATACCTAATGCGATTAGGATTCCGGTAGAGAATTATTTAGACCGTTTCAAATTTCGAGGGCTCAGTTGCTGAGGTCAACCATCAGAACATATTGGGTTGTAATTCCCATCATTCTCATAAATACATGTTAAATTATACCTGTGCGTGCTTCCAAACTGATTCCCGTCCAAACCATAAACGAACCACTTCAACGTGGAAGTCTTTCATCAATTTAACCTGGGGCATATTTTTCTGCGGATCTCCTCCATACTCTCCGACGTCCATCTGACCCAGTGAGGTAAAAACGGGATTCATCGGAAAACAGTACCTTGCTCCATTCGTAATCATTTCCAGTCTAAGTGAATTTGGGCAAAAGTTCAATGCCGTCGGTGGAATGGCGGCCCTGTGACTCCTTCGACAAGACAATCCATTGGCTTTCTTCTAACAGTACATTCGCTAACATTAACATTTCTAACCTCTTGAAATTGATTTCGAAGCCAAAAATCGATCATCACTTTGGTTGGTGATCCTTTTTTGATCGGATCCTGGTCATAGCGTTTGTACAGCACATAGACTCCTACTAACAATTGTTGCAGTTTCCCGTTTTCCTCGACCATCTTGTATTAATGCTAAAATTCTAGCCAGAACGATAGGACGTAAAGGCATTATTGCCTGTTAAATAAGCATCTATCTAAAATACACCAGACAATCATAAGTTTTATAGAAATAAATGAACATTATACTGGAAAGAATTTTTAATTAGGTCGAACTTACGTTATTTCATAAAAAGTCGAAACTACAACAGATTACAAATATCTCCATCCGTTTTTGTAGGAAAGCCTACTAGATCGACGATTCCAAATTATTTAAAATTTCTTGAGTGACCTAGATTTTTTGCTCGCCAGTGTAAGTTTTGGCTTAATGATTTTTTGCTTACCATTCTATAAGGTTGATTATAGGATACCTTTTCTCATAATCTGGTGAAATTATCAAAAGGAATCATTTATACTTAAAAAATATTAAATTATTATATGTAAAGGTGTATTTTCGTGTACAAGTAGCAACTTTCTTATTTTATATGGAATACCCTGTATATGAAATATATTTTTGAATTCTTCGGAACTTTTTAGACATATTTCCTTCCGTTTCTTGTGTATGCCTTTGTATATGAGGTTGATTTTCCCATTATGGTTTGTATTAATATGTTCAGAAATAAAATAGAAAGTATGAAAGGTATTTGAAAAAGGTTTCTAAATATTAACAGAAAAACATTTTTTCATTGTAAAAATGATATTTTCTATTAAAATATATAATTTTATATATTTATAATATTATAATTAATTATAAAAAAAATTATTGTTCATTTAATACACTATTTCTTGTAGGTTTTTCTCCATATGGATATTTTTCAGGAAACGATAAAGTTTGTTCCATTTTTAGACATGAAAAAAATTTAAAAACTTATGTGTTAGTAGCTATAAGTTTATAAAAAATTGTCGACGAAGAATGTGGTAGGAGCCATTTCTTTCGTTCTTTAGTATATATAACAAAGGTTTTCGGTGTTAGAAATTAATAGACATGTTTAGGCCCGCAAATGTCAGTTTTGACAGTTCTTCCATTCTTATATTCAAAATATGCCAGAAATGTTTAAATTGTTATATACAAAACATGTTAAAAACGTTTCGGGGATTAAAAAAGTTCGTAATATACAAGCAGTATTCTATATAAAATAAAAAAGTTATAACTTGTTCGCGAACATAGTCATACTTGTATATATAATATTTTTAAGTTAAATTCGAAAACAACTTTTGTCGTTAAGTTTTTTTAAATTCTGTATTACTAAAGTGCACCAGACCCATGCAGATACTGCAAACCATCACAATAAATAATCAGAAATACAATTATGTTACTATTGTCAAGTTATAACATAAACCTTGCTTTATTAAATCTTATAATGTAACAATTTGGTTAAGCCTCTCGCGATCAGTTGATGAACTGTTCTGATTTAGTTCTACAGACCGCCGTCGTTGGTTGCAATTGCTTCCCAGCGCTGCGCTCCAACTCGGAGGTTCAACGTAGACTCAGAGTTAGACTAGTTATTTAACTAATTAATTTCGGTATCGTTAATCTAAATATAACCGTTTTTCGCTTATTAATATTATTATATGAATTAACATGAACTGACCAAATTGTTATTCCTAATTGCAAAACAAGTTTTCCCAATACCTTAATTGTTAACTACTAACAACTTTGAGGTCAGCTTATCCTCCTTTGCTTACCTTTTGAGGAAATTGCATTTGCTTTGACTGCTCGATTTTCATAAATCGTAATAAAATTATAAATTTAGTCTGAGCAAAGGTGCAGTTAGTTCATAGCATGACATCTTTATCTAGTTCATAACTGAATGTAGTAAATTGACACAGGAATTTTGTTTATCAGTTTGGAATCCTTGTCAAAAGCCAAGTCAAGGTCAATTTTTTTTAGCTAAGACATACGGATCATTTTTGATTACGTCACTATACGTGACGTAACTGCGCAACTGCTCTTTTCATTAACTTTTTCTTTTCGGATTCATGCATGAGCTTAGTATACACTCACTGAATCTAATTATTGGTGCGTTTTGGGTACTGCCGTACTATAATTTGTGCAATCAAAACATCGCGTTTTCACCAAATACAAAAAAATATATGTACAAATTTAAAGCAATTTTTTTTATTAACAATAAAACTTTTGTGGACGAGTTAAAAAAACAGTATCACATAAACCAAATGTTGCAAATGAACAACTACAACGAATAAATGTATCGTCGTCTCTCTTCTTGCTTGGGATATTAATATTATCAAATATCGAAGTCTAATAGCCTCATAACCTTATACGGGGTATTATAACTGTCAGAAACTTTTCCAAGGGGCGATTCGGTCGACACAAAATGTGTAGTTTAATATAACGTCGTGGCGAATAACTTTTCCAAAATATTGATTGGGATATGCGAGGCTGATCCGCAAAGAGCCTTATAACGGTCCACGAATGAGGGAAATCCGTAATACCCTCGACACGAACGGATTTAAGCATCAAGTTTTCTTTTTTCTGCGTGCGCCTCTGCTAACTGAGATAAAGTGCATTTCGGGCCGGAGAAAAACAACGATATTTTCTGGATAAAATCAGAAAGTTTTGTCTAAGCTTTTTTGTTCTGAAATTGACGACATTGATTATGACGTGATATGGATTTCTAAAAATATATTTTCTCTATTTTTTACCGCCATCTGCTTGAGCAAGACCGTATTTCTACTATCTTGTAATTGTATCTTATGATTGTATAAAGAAAATTAGTGAAATACACAGTAAATTCTAATAACTTTTTTAGTGGAGATATAGAAAAGAAATATATTATTGCAAAAAGAAAGATTATTGAAACACCCGCAGTAAATTCTAATGACTGCTTTATTGGGAATTGATGCCCTTTCGTATAATTCAATCTTTTTGACAGACAATTTACGAATTTAAGATGGTTTTGAAGACCAACAACTTATTTTAAGTGAACCAAAAGTGGTGTGACAATGGTATTAAATTTCAGGTTTCCAAATTGGTCCTTTCATTGAGTTATCCTTTTAATTAGCTTTTCCTCTGATTAAAATATCGTTATGAATAAAAAATTTTATAAGACGTTTCATTCCAATTTGCCAGACAAATAATATTATGTTTCACCATAACTAGCCTAGACTAACAGAGGCCATTTTCTTCTGACGATTGAACTTAGCAAACGGTAGAAGTTATTAGTTATTAGTTGGCAGTTTTGGTTCGAGGTATATGCTATTTGAAACTTTGACAATGGGAACTTATTTAAACTTGGTTTAATACAACAAATTCAGTAATTCAATTTTTTTTTTGGGAAATGTGCTTGGAAACGTCCATTAGTGGTTTTAATTTGGGCTGTTTATGATATGAGAAAGTTTTATGTATGATATTTTACAGGATCCCGGAGTTAACGCCCATGCACTTTTTCTTACGAAGGTTTTTGAGAAACAAAAGTGTTAAGATTAATATTGAGGAGGTGAATGACATTCACCTCAGTTTTAGATATTGTCAATTATAAAATTGGTATTTTGAACGTTTATTGAAGAAAGACTATTAAGGTGAATTATTTTGTCTAATTAAAATGGAGTGGCTGTTTTAAAAATAGGCGATTACATCATACCTCAAATTTGAGATACGCAGCATAACATTTTCTTATATCAAAAAGAGCGCGATTTAACATAATAATCGACTTGTCTGAGCATGTTTCTTTGGATTTATTGTATTTATTCCATGTTAGAGATTCGCAACTGTATTTTGCAAATATTGCGCTGTGTGTCCAATAATGACTGCATTAGAATTTCAATTGGAAGACTAAATTTTTGTTATTGGTTCTTATTTTACACCAAATCCAGCCATTTTTGCCAACGTAAAAAAATCTTAATATCAATTTTTTGGCCCTTAATTCGTATGTTAATACTAAACTTACACAAAAAGAAAATTTGTATGAACACATGAATTTTTGGTGCTCTGAATCATTTATTAGGATGCTGTGATTTGATATTACTACGTTGCTATTGATTTCAAGTTATGAAATAAATTTCTGTTGACTATCCTGAGGTTCCTATCTATTTCAAAAACCAAGATTCAACAACGCAGACGCAAGCTCGAAAACTTTTCCAAATTGCATGATCCTGAGATTCAAGCTTGCGTATTTAGGCACGATCTTTAAAACTACAAACTTAGAGACCTGTAAACCGTCCTGTCTATCTAACAACAATCCACAAGTAAATTTCCTTGTTTAGCGACGTTTTATTAGTTCAAGTAGTTTTCGAAGCACCCAAGGCTGCATTATCCGAAACTCCGACCTCAAGTTATGTAATGCCCGCATCCTTTCCCGATTGTTTGCCGCATTCGGATGCGGTAAGCACCATTTTGAGTGTTTGCATAAGATTAAGCTGCATCTTAGCATGTTTTGCACGGAGCAGCAAATTCAACGGTTTTGTTCTCCGTTAATAGGGTTGATCTAGATTTTTTGACAAACCATAATCCAAATAAAATTAAAATTGCCAGGACAAATAAAATATTCCGTGGTAATTGCTAATCGCATCGTGTTTCTTCTTCAGCTAATCAACGAGTTGCGGAAGAACTAAATTTGGATGGGAAGTGGGACGAAGTTGGTCCTCAATTATCCTGCGTCCTGGAAACGGTAACTGAATTTCCCACCGACGTAGTTCCGTTTGACGCTGCTTCCGATACCCCCATAGATGATCAAAAGTGAGTCGTGGTATTTGTTTCTCTTCAACTGTTTAATTTACTTTTCTATACTTTTGGTAAATTAATTTCTGTTAGGAGTGTCGAGACCACCAAAATGTCTACTCAGATATCTTAACCAACCTACATTAAAGCGCATTTTTTTAGATATGAGTATTAATAAATTAATTAATTAATAAAATCCTAAGATATCCTTAGTTTTAGGCTATATATACTTAAGATACTACAGATTTATTTAGGGATTCATCATCTTGATTTTAGATAAGAAAAACATTTGAATTTTCAATGAAACTTTCACACATACTATTTACAAAACTGCTGGGTTCAACAACGGACGCAGGAGGAATCCAGAAATTTCGCAAATAGAAAAAATTTGATTATTTAAACTGAAGTTCCAAGAATCGCCATTTTGATTCCATAAAAATTTAACATTGCAGGCGATAATTGAAAAATGTGTGGAGAACAAATTTCACAAAAATATTTACTTCAATTTAGGGTTTTGAAATTTTTACTTGTCAGTTTTCGATCATTTCTTGACTCAAGCGCTTAAATATCATCTAAAATCTGATTTTTCAATCAATAATGAAATAATACCATCAACAAACATTTATTTTTTTGTTTTCCAATTTAGTAGTAAAGTTCAGCTTTTTCGCCTCTCGATAATTTCAAATCTTTGCTCCCCTTAATGGAGAATCCTAGTTTTATATTTTCAGTAGTGACGCAGGTACGGTTTTCTAAAAGAAGAACACTATGAAGAACGACATATTTAAAAGAAATTAACAAAATTAATTAGATTGTTACACAAAAACATTTTCTACGCCAATAAGGCTAAGTAGCGAAGAACTAAATAAATGTCTTTAATTGAAGATAATAGCCACAATAATATGTTATTTTGTAATAATAAGAAGGCATTTTTATCTGTGCTGAAAAATTTGGAACCAGTGGTATAAGATTTTAGCGCAAGTAATATTTGTTGTTGGGTGGCCATTGTTGTAGTAACAGGTTTACCCGCCAGTGTGAAATTTATGTCTCCAAAAATATTTTTTACAATTTTTTTTAAATAAAATAAGTCGGAAAAGAGTAACGGTGATCTTTTTTTTGACACTTTATATTTAGATCACTAAAAACCTTATTACTATAGAATTAAATGCTCTAAAATGTGAAGTCTAGGAATTGAATTTTCCAAAGAAACTTCCACAGGCTACTGTAATACTTTTTAGAAGACTAGAAGACTTCTGGATTCCTCCTGCGTCGGTTTATCCTGAGTCGAAATTGCCGAACACACTCATGAAACCGGACATACAATTTTATCCGATAAAACTAAAATTCTGGCATGTAATCAGTTCTACTACCAACGAAAACTCCGTATAGAAATCTATAAACAACCCAACAATCTTAACCGCAACTCAGGTCTCTACCTGTCACCAATTTAGGAATCAGTCATCCGAGACGGTGTTTATGCCCCTCATTTAGCTCCGCCCCCCCCCTGAAACAAGATATAATCAGGTACAAATTAAGATGCGAGCCAGTTTCAGTCAAGCTCTGATGAAGCCCACAGGATGATTGGCGAAACGTCAGCAATTCCGATTCAGCAAAAACCGACGCAGGAGGAATCCAGAAGTTTTGTAAAAAGTATTCTAGGAATTGAAGTTTACCTCTGCTTTTAGTAGCAGTTAACTTAACCAACAATAAACTTGATAGATTGAGTGTTTATCCATTAATATGAATTTAAAAAACAAACATTAAAAAAAGTTTGAGTTTAACTTAAGGACTTAAGGTTTCTAACCATAACTAGGAAACACAACCAAACCTCCGGCGCGTTAATACTCTGCAAGGGTTCGGTAGATGTTGGTTCTGACTAAAAGCAGAACAAGAATTCTTATCAATACAGTCGCCAACAATCTGTTTTTGTTGAGTCCAACTACCTAACGTTTCCCAATCATCCTGTTCGCTTCATCAGAGCTTGACTAATCTTATAGAAATTTATAAGCAACATAAGAATCTTAACCATGACTCAGGTCTCTACCTGTCACCAGTCATCCGAGCTCTGAAGAATCCAATAGGTTGTGTGGCGAAACGTTAGCTAGTTCCAGTCAACAAAACCGACGTAAGAGGACTCCAGAAGTTTTATAAAAAGCATCTTATTTAAGTTTATTTTATTTCTCAACGAAATATTCGCATCCAGTTATCTATTCAAGGAATGCATGTTTACTACACCCCTTAAAAAGAAGAAGTCAATACTTTGATAACTATAGATTCATAAGCCCAAGAATTCACGGTTCAAAACTTGGTTTTTAGAAATGCACTGGTCACCGACGAGGTTCTCTTTCATTCCACAGTAATTACACAGCGAATTGTGATGCTATAAAACTAAAAATGGAATTGTTTGCATATACAACAAATGAAGAAGCTCAACTCCTGAATAAAAACCAAATATCGTTAACCTTTAAAGCTTGTAATACTTCGTTCACATCACCAGACGTCCAAAATATTTACACAACGCACACTTGAGAGGAGTAGAGTAGAGTAGAGTAGAATAGACATTTATTCACTAAAACCAATATAACAAAGGAAAGCTACCATTGCCTATACTCATCAATATGTCTAATTATTTTTAAAAATTGTAAAAATAAAAATGTTATACAAAATAAACAAATAAAAAATGTTACGTGAAAAGACTAACTAATAAAGAGCCAAAGTCTGTCACAGAATACAAACTTTGTTTTATTTTTATCTATCGATCGTAAGATTATAAATAAGGTTATAAAAATATTTATTGTCATTAATGATCTTAAATGATTTTAACTTTCTTTTGGTCTAAGTCTTTAATTTCAGCACTATGTGTGTCCGGAATGAGAAGGTGATTTTTTCTAGCAATAGGTTTTTTTAACTAAAAATGTATTTTATTTCCTGTCAAGTTTGAAAGTTGTCTTAATTTTTAAGTATATAAATTAGTAGTTTAAATAGTAAATAAATATCTGCCAACCTGACAAAGATTCGGCTTGAGTCTACTGCTGTTCCCCGAACTTATGATATTGCAAGAAATTGCCGAGTGTAATGAGTAGTATATATTTAGTGCTACTAATAAACGCAGAGGTGGCGGAGTCTTATTGACCAATTGACCAACGCTTTACTCCATGTAAGATAAATATTGACACAGGTGAACCTCGGGTGATGAGGGCGAGTTTTAGTGTTTCACACTTTCAATTTTGGTAATTCACGTGTCTCCAGCTGCGAATAAAGTCACTTTAGCAAAAGCTTTTTGATTATATTCTATCTTTAGTGATTTTGTATGGCGAGAATTTATGTATTTTGCTCGATTTCAACATATCTGCACACTCCTATTTCCTAGACACTGGTACCGAAAATCAATGTGTTAGATTGCTTAGCAGCTTCCTGCACTGTTATCAACCTCTCACAGAATAAGTAATTGGTCGGAAATAGAAGCAATAAAATTTTGAACTTAATCTTGCATAACATTATCAAGGGTTTGGTAGAACGTGCGATGAATGGGTTGGTCCAGCAAGATGATCATTCTGCAATTCATTTGTCACTTGAATTTCCTCATCCCATAAATAAAAAACACAACTTTCCTGTGTCGCTGGTAATAATTTTAATTTTAAAATAGCTAAATTTGTTCACATGTACGATATGTTTTTAAACTTGGATTCGTCATTTCTTTCCCAAGAATAGGATCGTGAGTGTGCGTGTTCTCTATTTTATGACAAACTGTATGAAATTAACATATGTGTTCCTCGTTTTGGAAAGTCAGTTAATAAAAAGTATCCTCCCGGGCTTAATTCAAATATAATATAATTAATTAAATATAAGAAATAAATCCGGATGTCACAAAAAGTTCAAGGTTCAAGAATTACAAAATTTTAAAAGTATGCGGCGAATCATAAAATCTGAAACCAGGGACTCGTATAAAAACTATTGAAAATTGAATATGCCGCTAAAAAAGATCCTAAAAACTTTTGGTCCTTGATTAAAAACAAAACACAAAACTCAGCTGTATCCAGTTATATGAATTTTAATGATACTGGTGTACATACTCAACTCTTTTGGACTTAGTTTTGCACAGTCATCAGAAAATATAAACAAAAAATTTCTCCGAATATGGGGTGGAAAAACTTCTCAAATTAACTAAACCTAAATTTACAGTGGATTTTGGTTAAATCGTTTGCTTACTTTTTAATCTATGTGTGAGAGACCAAGTCATTCCTGGTGCATGGAAAATCTTTGAAATTATTCCCATAGACAAACAGACTAGTAATCTCAAATCTCAAACTGTAGGTCTGTTTCCATTATCTGCAATTTCTATAAAGTTTTAGAAGACCTCTTACATGACAAAATATTCCATGTTGTTAAGAACCAAATAGTTCCTCAACAACATGGATTTTTTAAACGGAGATCTATCTTTACCAATTTAACTTATGTTGAGTATATCTCTAAGGCTATCGATGAAGGTTTTCAATTGGACGTCTTATATCTTGATATTATAATAGTATATTATGCAACGAGTGCGGTAAACGGCATTTGACTCAAGAGTTTATTTGATACGGGCGGAGCGAGTGTTTAATAAACGACTGAGTTAAAAAGTTTACCGAACGTGTTGCATACTATACTTTTTCTACGACCGTTAGTTTTTGGGTACATTTTCGCAAAACAAACATTGGCCTACATGACTGTCAGAATTGACAAACGCCAAAATTCAAAGCGTGGGAAATATCTCCGAAAACATCCGATTCCGTGCGGTAAAATCCCGGAAATGTCCGAAGTGGTAAAGTGACGCTTTCTGCACGCTAGATTCACCCGTTATTAGGTATTTTACGGGCGGAAGTAGAAAAAAGCACTTGATCCATTAGATGACAAAATTTTGGTCCACAAGCTTCGTACTTTTTGACTTTCTGAATCGCTTGTTAATTTGTTTTCGTCATACTTGTCTAACCGCGCCCAGCAAGTCTATCCGTTGCTTCCTCAGGCGTTCCTCAGGGCCCATT